TGTACTGCGATGTGAGGTACGACACTCACAACTTGCATCTATAGGTAAATCTATGGTTCGTGTTGAAGGACCGGCAGCTGGACACCCCTCCTCCATCGTTCTTGATTTCTTCCTCGGTGGCTCTTGGCTCTCTTCATCCTGACTGGACGACCGTTAGGACCATTATAGCATCGAAGATGAAGTAGGGCACGTACAGCAGGGGAACAACCTTGCTGAGTCTGACTAACTCTCTAATGATTACCGCGCTCTTCATGTTCGCTTTTACTCCACGAGCCTGTTGTCATGTCAGTGGCTAGTGCTGAGGACAAGAAACGTGAGACATACCTTAGCTACCTTCTGTAGTTGTGCACGAGATAGCTTGCCGAGTGTGGTTTCATCCATGAAAAGTTCTCCTTGACTTGGAGCTGGGGTTAGGTTGTTGGATGAGTGGGCACCATGAGGAAGGATTCCTTCGTTCATTTTACGCAATGTGGTCTTTTAACCGCGGGTACTGTGATGAAAAGATGTGGTACTGTGTCAAGTTGGGGATCTGCTTGAAATAAACGACGAGGAGGAACTGTCGTGCTTTAAATTTGTTCGCGTACTGTGGCTTCTGTGGAAGCGTCCACAGCTTAAATGCACGATGCATGCTTGTACCCAGAGAACAATAGATTGAGTCATAAAAGTCCGCGGTCAAAGCAAGGGCGGCATCAGTAAACCGGTGAGTTCTTGCTGGGGATTATGCTGATTATGGTGCTTTTACATAGTCATATATTGCTTTATATCACTTTATATTCCAATGTGACGAAAACCTTTCCTATATATTACGATATATAACGATATATGACGATATCTTCTTCTCACAGGTTCTCTGATGGCCAGGGTCCGGACTCCGGGAGCACTTTCGTTGACATTGCCGAGATCAATTTGGGAGTATTGATGTTTATTGGACTGAACAACACGTCTTAGCAGCGATAAAGCTTCGCGGTAATCGTTAACGTTGCTGGAAGAGGGCCCATTCATCAAGAATAAAACTGAAGGTGATCAAAGTGGTATCGATACAAACGCAATGTTTCCATGGAAGTTAACATTCAAATATCAGGCATTGACGTCGATATGAATACACTGTCTGATGAATTACATAAAGTGTAATGCACACGAGGAAGGATATATATAAGATGTGGCGTACGTATGCCTATCAATCATGAATTGACGATGGATCTTAGCAGGGAAAGTGCTGGAGCTCTTGAACAAGTCAGACTTCACATAGCTAGTCAATACACACGAGGAACCTTCCCGAACCCCGCCCCGTAATCGCGCTAGTACTTGTCAACCTCGCCGTTAAAGAGATCAGTTATGGCTTCTAGCTCGACACACCCCGTCAAAGCAACAAACGAACCGATCCTGCCACCGGTCATGACGTTGCAGGGTCATAAACCTTCGAGACACGACCTGCAATACGGATCGAGCGTCACACACCATGTTTCATCCATTTCCTACTTTCCAGACGGTCAAGAAATGATTAGTGGATCTTGGGACAAGACTGCTCGGAAATGGGATCTACAGGTGGGTAAAGAGATTGTGAGGGCGCGGGGTGTTTGTGAGGGGGGTGTGCATGCGGTGGAGGTATCAAGGGATGATCGATGGGTCGTCACTGCTGGTGGAAATAATGATAATTTGCGTCAATTTGGGGAGCTCCGAGCGTGCGAGGTCGAGACCGGGATTGTTAAAATATTGGAAGGACACTCAAGGGACATCACTGCATCGACATCTCCGCGGACAGCACTCTGCTGGCGAGCGGGTCATATGATTCCATACGGATATGGAGCTTGGGTACTGGCAAACTCGTGTCTGGTCCATTTGCATCTGAAGATGGAGTGGGCGCTGTTCGATTCTCGCAAGACTCCAAGAAGCTGGCAGTCAAGTCAAATTTTGGGAAGCGCCTTGACATTTGGGATGTCCATACACAGAAACTGGATGCCAGAGTAGGGAAATCAATCAATACCGGAGGGATGTGGACGCATGCACCAGTGTTCTGGACAGCAAAAGACCGAAACATCATAGCCGCATTCTCCTTCATCGACCCGAACTCAGATGTCATCGACTTTCCAAGGATGATTTACAAATTCGACGCGTCGACACTGAAGACTGTCGGAGCCCCCTTCAAAGGGCATACCCATCTTGTGACTGGTCTAGCACTTTCATCTGATGGTGCTCTTCTCGCTACCGCTTCCAAAGACAACACCATCAAGCTCTGGACTTTCGAGTCCCGCCAGCTCCTCGCTTCATTCCCCGTTCAGGAACCGCACTGCATTATCCTCTCACCCAACTCACATCAACTGGCTTACACGACTTGGTGTGATATGAAGTCCAGGATTTTCATATGCGACATTCCACCTAACATCCTTGCTGGCATACGTCCTGCACAAAAAGCAGAGCCCAATGTATGCATTCAGTCGCATATATCTATCCGTTCGTGCGTTAATATGTTATTGTAGATCAATACGCCTCGCAATCCACACCGCGCTGTGCGCCATAATCCCATCAAGGTTCCAGTCCGCATCCCGCCAAAACCCACAAAAGACCCGCAGCGACCCGCTTTCCTTCACTACCTTCGCAAACTTCTCCCTTCCTCCTCCCGCGCGGACGCACTCCGTCCTATTCAGAACCACGAACCTCGCGATCCGTTGGACGTATGTTTCTTCTATCTGTTGCCTTCACAGTCGATTTGACCCCCACCTTGTAGTTCCCTGCTACGTTGCCCTTACCTCCAAATTACTCTCCCTCAGGGCAGACCACGACTCAGGTGCGTTCATATATGGATCCCGGCGAGAATGCGAGTGTTCACTATCGTCATCACATTTTCAGTCTCGGTCCGCACGACTACCGCCTGCCTCTCAGTCCTCTACTGCTGTTCCCACTACCTTCAAATCTCGCATACGCCACTTGTCAGCCCGGTTGCCTATCGTCGATGTTCCTCTTGCACAGGGTAAAGAGGTGTGCTCGGTTAATTTTTCACTATATCCCAGGTCTCATACATTCACTTACAGCGCAACGCTGCAGCGGGTGCTCCCCCCAAGCGTAATGATGATTGGATCCCTGATGAAGACCATGTCTCTCCTCCTCCTTCACCGACCCCCGGTTCACAGCCACAATCTACAGCGAGGCCGATTAATGTTACCTCTGGAGAGCATGGAAACGAACGCTCATGTTTTTGCTTTTAGCACTGTTTCGAGGGCATTTCATTTTGAATTGGAGGCATTGTCCTATTAACATTTAGCAGATATGCTCATTACAGCCTTTGGAATATTTCTCGTCTTTGTATCAATAGCATACTGACTATAAATCTCATGTCTTTTGTCAGCTATCTACTTAGATTCCGCTAGATTCATACGAGGTTACATACGCTCGTCAAAAGTACTCGAGCACAGATTGTGCACGTGTGTTGAAAGACCAGTATGCAGAAGACCATTCCAGCTTCAAACCATACGCCACACACAAGCATCACATACTTCAGGCTTCAGGAAAGACCTTAAGAACATGTTGCGTCTCGTGATGAACGCCACGGCATAAAGCGCATATACACGTCGATATCAAATACTAGAATGCTGCCGATGATTGAATGACTTCCCTAATTCGCTCGATTCACCACATCGCAATCCAACATATGATATTCTAGGTAACGCTTACAGCTCATCGGTAGTTGGTTTAGCTGCGGGCATCCGGCACTGGTTCGAGAGTGCTACGGCGGCGAACATTTTGACGTTCAATATTTCTGCACCGATGGGATTTTGTAAGTATTTCAATTTGTTCTAGTTCGTCACTTTTTGTGATCGTCACATGCAGTGATGTGTATGGCTGCTGGGTGCAGGCAAGGACATATGATCCGGATTTATTTTTGCGAGACTGAAGTCGAAGCTGCAGCCAAGATGGGCAAGATCTAAAGCTTGTCTCGCAAGAGCCGAGGAATCACGATTAATCCATCTTTTGGGCGATCGTTGCATCGAATCACCCTGACGCCCTCAGAGAATTGGGTGATTTCAGGTTTCCCTCAAGCTCTCCGTCTCAAGCTCGAGCATCTAAATTGCATCTCCTATTTGCCAATGTACTTCCCTGATGATTCGAAAAGGGTTGAAGGCGTTGGGGAAGACGCCGAGTGGTCGGTCTTGTCTCTTGACGGTCACGGGCAGGCCTCTTGGCGACACGAGGTAGATGTTTATAATTTTAGTAACTCCACAGACATGCTTGCCTGTCATGGGGTAGGAGTACCCGGCCCAGGGACGATCAGAAGGACCAATATTAAGGTAAACCGTGACTTAGGTCTGGTACATGAAGTATTCTGTGCCGTACAAAGCTGCACATGCAGCTGTGCCCGTCGTCATTGCGAGTGTGATTGGATAAAATGGTGGCCTTAGAGACCGTCGCAGATGCAAGAAGAGGTATGTCAATGACCAAGCTGTCGCAGTGCATGTACATCATATGTGAATCAGAGAGTGATATTGGAACTCACCAGTAGCTATACCGCTGCCATTCCTTGCATCACCAGCCGCTAGAACGTACGCGGCTCCACCAAAGACCAGGGAGAAGCCGACCCGGTGGAGATATGGGGGAAAGTAGACATTTGGACGAACGACAGTGGACGGAACTACGGCTGAAGCTGCAACTGTTCGTTCCAAAAAAATCAGATAGTGATGATGTGAAGAGAAAACTTTTTAACGCGTACATAATGTCCCCAGACCAAGGATAGGACCCCTTCAAAATTCAATCAATAGGTTAATGTGCCAGAACAACATGGTGATATGGCTGGAGGGACTAAACTTGGATCGTGCGTATGGCTGGAAAGAAGAGAATACTCCAGACGCCGTTTTGGATGTAGAAGGAATCGGCGAATTTACGCGTTCAGGAGACTCCTTTCCTTCCATTCCACCAATTGGGTTGTGGTTAAAAGTAAAACTTGGACATGAAGTCCACGGGAGTAAGTAGGCCTTAGGGTTGGAGAATCCGGGGTTCTATTTGAATCCCGAATGGGGAACCTCCAGCCCTTCAACTGTCAAGTCGGAACATGCTAGTGGAGCAGTACTTCTGCCGCCAAAGTGCGGAGTACACGAGGATCCTCCATACTTTATAGCCAGGTAAGAGAATTATTTGTTCCTTGTCTTCTTGAACAACGTTAACAGTGACTCGGTTCAACTGAACGACTCGGATGCCTTCGACTATCATTCAGGCGGGGAAAACATGGCATGGGTTCAGCAAGATCGAGTATTTGATCATATTGTACGTCCTCACCCCGCATATCGACTAAGCGAAGATTAATGTGATCCATTCAGTGGCGATTCCTATAGCAGCATTCGCTGGGACTACCAATCTTCTCCCAATCCGACAGTCAAGAGCCCCCTGGGAGTGACGTATCCTGGGGTAACATACACAGAGCCTGGCAAGCCGAACTGGGTCGGACATCTAGTGAAATCGCGTCCATCTAAGCTGGTGTACGACTATGCCAGGGGAAATGACTTTGTCTCTTCTCTGGAGAGACAGATCATATACCAGTTCCTTCCGAATGTCGCAAAGAAGCCATCATCAGCACCATGGGAACCACAAGACACACTCTTTAGTGAGTGCTCTTGAATCGCATACTTTGTCTCTCTGACGGCATCTGCATTGATCTATGATAGTGACCTGGATTGGTATCAATGATCTCGCGTGAGGTCGTCATCCTGCTATCTTGATTATCAACTGATCGAGAATTCCTCAGCCTCATCGAAGACATTGATGGCGTGTTTAACACGCTGAAAGGGCTTTTCCGTTACCAAGAGAGACTATACGCCTCTGGAGCTCGAAACTTTCTGTTGTTTGACCTCCCTCCAATCCACCGATCGCCCTCAGGTATGGTGTCGCATCTTCTGCTGTTGTCTACATATTCATTTCAAAACACAGTGCGCGACGATGTTGATACCGTGATGGAACAATATCAAACATGGAACGCGACATTAGAGAAAGAGCTCCGGAGCTGGACTAGAACCCATCCAGACATCACCACCTTCCTCTTTTCGTCATGGGACGCGTTTTCGCGCGTGTTGGATGACCCAAACGCATTTGGATTTGATCCCAGTGATGCCAGCGAAGCTGGGGGCGCAATATGGGTAGATCGGCTCCGTCCCACGAGTGCGATGCATCGAATCATTGCGGACGATCTGATTTCGTTCTTGGACGCTCACTCACCTCATGTCTCCGATCAACCAGAATTCTCGCACAATCGTGCATGCTTCTCAGCAAGTAATGCTGTGTGAGTGAAGACGAGTTTGCGAAAAAGGCATAGGGCAAGGGCGGGTGCTTGATTGTTGCCTCTGGTAGGAACCAGTAGCATTTTTCAGTCCATGACTACTGCCGAGTTATCTATTCATGTGACTGTATCCATCACGTACAATCCTTTCAATTTCTTTGGCATGATCTCCCAAGTTTGGTTGTCATTAATGCGATTTGATGTGTCATTCTTTTCAAACAGTGAAATTTTGATCATCGCGAGCTCAAAGCAGTATAACGACAATTAATGCTATCCGTGTCGCTCTGCCAGGGCCTGGTACGACGTATCCATAGTGTACACGATATTGTAACGAGGGCGATCAAAAGCCCAGACAATGATTTATCCCCAGAGGATATAAACGATCTCGCTGCCCCTACTCAGTTAGGTCCGATGAATTGATACAATATCCGCCTTACGAGCCCAGACAGATGATGCGGGTCGTTCTGCAAAAAATGAGATATTCAGGACATTTCTTACCACGAACAGAATCAAAGTCACCTGATAGATACTCTGGACGTCGCAAAAATAAGATCAGGACTGCGTTAGAATAATATAGTAACCTCTCGCTCACCATAACCATACTCATTCCGATCGCAGCAAGCTAGCACATGTCAGTGAGCACGTCCATCCAACACGAAATTGAACACTTACAATCATCTCCCCAAACTGACCGGTGTGGAATACCCAGCCCTTGCCTCTTGCCGTCAACCAGGCACTTTCCATGCCCTTCGGCAGAACGTACATCGCGAGTTCTCCTCGCCTCCGCTTTTCTTCGACAAGGAGTGAAAGCGCACCAAACAATCCACCGAGTCCATAGGAATACTTCGACAAAAAGAAGTCGATGAATTTCTGAGGGAGCTTGATTAAAGTTTGGGAGGAGAGCGTTCGGTGAAGGTAATGCTTGAAACAGAACCACGCTACAAGGGTATGTAAAATGACATGCAAGGACAAAGGCACGATAGAAATACATACTCTGGAACGTAGCAATAAACGTTGCTAAGAACGCAGAACTCCGTATTGTAGCCCATCCTGCACGTCCAAGTTTCTGCAATGGGTTCTTAAAGAATGCATGCCGCTTGAACAATATCATCGGGACAAAATGCAGGGCACCATAGATTGGGAAGGCCCATTTGAATACTGTGAAAAAGCGCGGTAGCGGCACGTGTGTGCATGATTCTACCCAGGGGTGCACGGCGCTACAGGGAGGGTAGGGGGGGCCAAAGTCAGGAGGCGAATTGGTAGCCAGTGCCCTTCTGGCAAGAAGAGTGGCATGATTTGCGGGGATAAGATCCTGTCAAGCAAGTGAGAATGTAGCGAGGAGAGTCAGCATAAAAAACTCACCTCGCGGCTGAGGATCTTGTTGATGTCTTGTATGTCAAACATCCCAGTCTGGTTCATGTCTTGGACCATCTTCATCGCGCTTGGCGGAGCGCCCGACGCAGTTGTAAGCCTAAGAAATTCTTCAAAAATAAGCTGCAAAACATTTTAATCGACTGACCATGTGGTGTATGATCGTGGGAGTGTATCTGGTCGTGCAAATAATGCGTACACAATTTGTGTACAGCTGTTCACGTCAGAACTAAGACCTCTACCATAATACACAGACTATACCAAAGACAAAACATGAGCACTTCTCCATTGGGTAGATGGAAACCGTGCTTCGACGTAAAAGCGTTATATGAACCTTGTAAACCTCTAGACATCGCTGTTAAATGGATCGCCGCATTATCATGAAAGTAGAGTAAATTACCGAACGAAGAGTTGTTGTGCGATGACCACTCTTCTCGATCGCTTCTCAAACATAACAGCGAGGCCACCGGCTAGAGCACCAGCAAACATAGAGTACCATCGTCGCGTCTTCTTACGCACCCACACTTGATGTGCTTGAGCGCTTAAGGAAAGACGTGGCTGTCTGTCTGAGAGGGGAACCTCGAAAGGCGTTGGTGGGACTTCGATATCTTCATTCTCGTCCTCAAATGGTGAGGGTGGACTTGCACGTTCATTGACAGGAAGAAGGATGGGTAGGGCATTGAGTGTTGCCTTGTAAACAGTCACGAAGGAACCTGTGCAGTCCATAAGAAGAAGCTTGCAGAAGATACTATAACATCCATTCTCTCACCAAGCATGGCTGCGAATCTGAAGGAATCCTTTCCAAAGATCGCATGTTGAATGAGTGAGAGCCTCATGTTCCTGTACAACTCAGTCGACCAGGGATCTGAGTAAAGGTCCAGCCCTAACTCACTTTGGCACCTTTCCCATTCTTATAGTTGCCAACACAAGATTCACGCTTGCACGGAGAGCAAAAGCGATAGCTGCAGCTCCTACATGTCGAGTATGAAGAATGTGTACTACCGTGAGTATGCAAATAATAACTCACTTAATCCTCCACGCCCCGCATGCTCCATACACTCCCAAAGGTCTTCAAGCTCGACAGCAGGCTCTCCGCGCTCCCTCCAGACAATCCTTCGAGCTTCCCGAAGTCGCTCTTGGTGGTTCGCGAGTGCGACGAGATTCTCAAAGGACGCCATCGCGCGGCGGGGTGCAAGTTGGATATATGATGGTGTTCGCGACATGGCAGCCTTATGAGGCGCTCGACTACTAGGTTTTGGGGAGGCCATGACCTCTTAGAGAGTTGAAACTTTGGGGAGTTTGCCTATATAAGTCTGAAAGCATCATGTACACGGAGTTAACGCACTCCGGCCGACACAATTTCGGCAAAAACTACATGCAACTCATAAAATCTTGGAGACCAACGTTTAGTTGAAGACTCTTTCAATGCCAACTCTCAAGCTTCAAGCTTCAAGGTCTGTCTGGTCAAACTTAAACTGATCGATGTAGCATGTGTGAAATCTTAGGCCCCGTGCTGGCAAATGTGACCGGTGACAGCCAGTCACAGAAGTTGAATGATACTTAGGAACAGTCGGCCATCAAACACGCAAGGTACAAAGGAGATCATTTATTCGCAGATGTACGAGAACGATGTACAAGGGTACGAAAGAATCTGTAGTGTAGAGAGATGTCAGTCAATGATGAGGTTTCACGCGAAAACATGAATAAGGATCAGACAATATAATGATTCCGGTTAGACTGTTTCCTCATTGAACGGATTCTCCGTTGAGGGAGTCTGTCTTGTCATCGTGATATGAAAATTGGAATGGCACTCACCCTACCGGTTCTTGAAGTATTCAAGGAGTACATTGAGACCCTCGCTCTCTACACCATAGTCTTTGACAACGACGCAAGAGCAGCCCACGACCTTGCGGGGGTTGCCTTCCTTGTCAATCTTGCAAAGACCTGCCCATGTGCCCAGAATCTTGCCGTCTCCGACCTTGATCAGGTTGATTTTGTGCTCTGCACAGAGTGCTTCGATAAGTTTGATGTACTCGGCCTCTGTACAGGTCTCCACAAGCACACAGAGGTGGGCCTGGCGCTTGTCCAATGCCTTGGCGCACTCGCGGAGACCACGAGCGAGACCGTCACGAACAAGGGCGTTCTTCAGGACTTGCTACGCGATCAAAGTTAATAATGGATAAAACCTGGCCGAAAAACTCAAGTTCTACATACCTGAAGAGCGTCCTCCACGGACATTTTTCCCTTCGGAGCCTCAGTAGTGACCTCGACCTCAGCGGCCGCGGCGTCGACTTGAATTTCATCTCCAGCGTCAGACATCCTTTGTTTTACGATCAGATATATGACTGGGCGTTATTATAGACAAACATACTTTTGTGATTAGTTTACAGAATTTGCGATGTCTTCGTCCGCTCTCGTTGATGTGAGGAAAAATAAGGTTTCGGCCATTAACAAGGTTTTGTGTGTGTTTTAAGTCCGCTCGGAAAGAGCCGTGATCCCATTTCATCTTCCTGTGGTCGAGGTTGGCCTTACACTGTTCCTAATCATCCACCACAAACGCGGTCAGATATGGTTTGTTCGCATTCTCTGATGCATAGCAGTTAGATTATAAAATTTGCTAGAGTCTCGCATTCGTTAACGCGCTTGAGTGCAAAGAACGTACGCGCCAGAGTGTTACAACTTTTAAGCAGGCTCCATTAAACTTATCGTTTACAGCGCACAGTGACGAGATCTGGGCTGTAGCATGGACAGCCAATAATACGGCCGTGTCCGCATCCGCAGACGGCACGGTGAAGCAGTGGGATTCCACCTCTGGACAGGTGTCGATGTCGCGTCCGCCACACAATCTTGCCATAGTTTCTCTATCTGTCTCACCTGACGGAAAGTTCGCGTTGTACAATGGTCTCGATGGTACAACATGGCTTTGGGATCTCCAGGCTGATACCGTGGTTGGGCGTCATGAAAGCTACGACCGTTCTACAGTGCAAGGCGCTGAGCCTTGTGAGTTGTAGTACGGACTCTAAGAAAGCATGATTTCTCATGATGTTGCATGTGCCTAGCCTGGTCAGTGTCACTCAATCCGAATGGAACGACATATGCGGGCACCAGCAGCTCTGGAAACGTGAATATCTACTCTGCGAACCCTGACTCTTTCGGAACACGACAAGCAGTCTTGACAAGTGGTAGGAGTAGACACGGTATGGATTGTGTACATGTGAGTTTATTTTATTTAAATATAGCAATGCCCCGAATTCCAAAACACCCAGAACGCCCACAATAACTAACGAATCACTTCTGATGATTAGAGTCCAGATGGTACTCGAGTGGCATTGTCAAACGAAGCTGGCCAAGTCTTCATATTTGACTTGGAATCACAAGCTTTAACATCAACCTATTCTTCGCATGCCATGTGTGTGCGATCGTTGGCATGGTCATCCGACGGTCAGGTTCGTTTCTTCAATTTTATCGAGTGAAAGTAGCCTAAGTGAACGGTGTCCAGTTGTTACTGACAGCCTCTGACGACAAACGCCTTATTCTTCACGATGTACGGTCGACTCCATCCGGGAAACCGGGTTCTGGAGCAGTAGCCACACTCACGGGCCACTCCTCCTGGGTGCTCAGCACCAGCATATCGCCAGATGGACGTCTAGCTGCATCAGGGTATATCACGTTCTACCAGAAAATAATTTTAGTAATTCTTGTCCACCAGGTCCGCTGACAAAACGATCAAGGTCTGGGACTTATCGGCACGTGCGGTAGTCTCAACGCTCCAAGAAAGTGGCGAAGTATGGAGCATTGCCTGGTCCCCAAAACCACCCGCTTCTGGCACCGCGGGTGCATTCATTACTGGTGGGCAGGATGGACATGTACGATGGTGGAGATCCGCTGGAACCGGTGCATAGTGTGGGTAGGATAGCGTGTCATTTTTGGTCCCCTTGTACTGCTGAATTTCATCATTCTTCTCAACCGTTGTAGATCCCAGACTTGACGAATGAATGAATAAAAAGCTTGCCCTTGTATGGACCGTCATCCATGAATTGATATTTGGATCACAGACTGTGCTAACTATATTCCCGTATCTCCGTTTTTTGATAGACTTCTGTCATTCTTATTTCCGTTCGCTCCACAATTCTTATTTTTATAGCCGCTAAAAACCCGCTTCTCTTGGCTGGTCGTGACCTCTTATTTGCTTCGTCCACAGGCGATTCGGCTGTCATTACTCGTTCGACTCGACTCGGATAAGTCGCTTCGTCGCGATCTTCTCCAAGACATTCACTGTGTGCCGATGGTAGATGAAAACGCAGTTTACGACCTGTATCCCTCCAGTTTCACCATCCAAAATGGCAAAGACAACCCTACAATCGAACAGCGACTCATGATTCGAAGTCACCTTTTTGAGATCATCGGAGTACTGGTGAGTCCAAGGGCAACACATACAAATCACATCCTTCTGTGAAGATGCTTTTGAGGTCTCAAATCACCTTCATATCACGCCCATAATCTTCAAGCGCAGATCATGGTTCGTCGTGACGAATGGCTTGTCTCCCCTCGAGTCTATCTGACATCCATAGCTCTGATTGCGATAGCATTTTGGCTCGCTCTGAGTAATCGATGGAACGCTCCTGCTTTCTCCGTATGTGACGGAGGCTAATGTCAAAATCCCACTCGAGGAATCAGCCATGTCCTGCTTACGAATAGTTGATCTGTGGGATGTCCATGATAGGCGTTCTCAGATTGCGTTCCGGAATGAGACCTATGAATTCATTCGTCAGAGTCCTGGTGATTTTGGAGACAGAGATCACGATTCATCGCCGTTTTTGTCGTTGAGCAGCGTCCTGTCCCATTTAGAGAATTTCATGCCGTGGGGGGAGTAGCTCTTGTAGAGTCCATCCATCTCTTTCCAGCGACTCCTGAAGGTAGATGATGCACGCTTGTGAGTTTCTATGCCAATTGAACATGGGACAAACGAGCTCGTCAGGCTCCGAGTTACTTAGTTTGAACTGTTAGGTTATAGGAAATCGCAGCTATGCCACCTTATTTTCTCGTAGAAGTTTGCGAGTTTATGTTATGCACGAATCACCTCATATGACGCATATTGTGATACGCCACTTCCGTATAGAACCATCTATTACCTACTCGTGAAGGTCCTTCACATGCGCTCCGGCTGCTGCTGCTGTTCAGGACACGAGCACTAAGAACTATTTGAACAATACAGCCACCGTCAAGGTACAAATGAAACTGTTTCAAACAATAGGAGCGACCGCTCGCTGCGAGTACACCATCTCTATGGGAAGCATAGAGCGCCTTTCAATCTGACTTGAGAGCTGGGTGAAGTGTAGTTGATGATTATGAGAGACGAGAGACACTACCGAACACTTACCAGCGAACCAAGCACGTAAGTCGGCCTTCGTATCCTCATCAACCTTATCCATGATAGACTGATACGATTCGATGGCTGTTCCAAAACTACCTGCTCGAAAGAATGCACAACACTGTTGCTGGTTCGCAGTTTGCCACAGGGACTTGAGGTCCCAACCAAAAAGCTGTGGAAAACACACAGTTAAGCACGAAAGAGTTTTCGGTTGTGTCATATCAGCGTACCACGATAAATTCATCGTACATCAAATGAATCGGCAATTTGTAAAAGAAAGTACTAGCGTTGACAGCAGCAGTGAAGTGTTCAACAGCTTCGCTGTGGCGCGCGCCCTCCAAGGCAATGTTTCCTAGTTGGACGCGTAGGTAGGCCTGGTGTACGAAGGGTAAGAATCAATGACAAGACATGGACCTGATGTGATCAAACGGGTACTCACTTCCACGATATGACAAGCAACAGGATTGACATGGGGACATGCAGCTAACTCTCGGATGCGAAGCATTGCCTCTTGGTGTTCATTTGCATTGAACAACGCAATGGTCTAAAAATCGCAATGAAGCACGGAGTAAGTGAGGAAAATAATACCTGCCTTGATCAAGAAAAGGAAGTGATCGGTCTTTAGATCTCGGTTCGTGAACATGGATGCGAGGTCAAATGATATCCTCGCAGCCAGAACCTGCTTTTTTCCGCAGAGGGCAATGCCCCTGGAGATATGGCCTGCCAACGATGGCTGAATGCTGATGGACTATGTCATCATCAAAGTTAACTTTTATAAGAATGTCATTATGGGTCAGTCCGTCTCACCTGAATTGCGTCTTGAAGTGCTCGGTCCCAGTAGCACTTTCGCGCCATAACAAATGCGCGATTGGCATAGGCGATGTAATTGTTGACGTCAGTGTAAATGTCTAGATTTAGCACCCTTTCAGCGGTAGGCCAGTCCCCAGCTATGCATGCGTTGCGGACTGTCGAGTTCATAGCGAGGACCTGCGTAAATCATGTTCGCATTGCGTTATGAGAGTCAAGGGTTGGAACATGCCTTGAAATCAGAGTAGGCTTGAGCATTGGCCTAAAAAAAGACACCTAAATGATGAATGGGCAGGAAAATGAAAACAAACGTACCTGATGCATAGCCTGCTCCTTCACGAGGCCGTCCTTTGAATCATCCTCTGGCAAAGCATCCTCGGATGTTGGCCACTCTGAGATCTTTTTATCTACACCTCCACTGAGGACGTGGTTGCCATTCGCAGAGAATGTGACACAGTCCACCTCCCCAGAGTGCTTGAATATGGCGACGTTTCGTCGATCTGAGAGTCGCCAGAGGCGGACACGGTTGTCATGAGATGCGGAGGCAAGGAGAGTACCGCTGGAGTCCACAGAAATAGTATGGATATCCTTGAAATGGCCCTTCCAGGGATCACCAACCTGCTGCCAAGTCGATGCATCCCATTCTCGTATGGTGGGATCCGCCCCATTGCCCCCCGAGAGAAGCCGTGTGCCATCTGGCGTCCACGCGAGTGAGTAGTTAAATCCTCCACTGATCGCTGTCATCAACTGAGTGGGAAATGGTGGTGGTGGTGTGTGATTGTGATTGTAACCGTAACCGTAACTGTTTGAAGGGCAATAGTAGTAGTAGATTCGGAGATTGTGGTCCGTTGCAATTGCAAGAAGTGCTCGGTTACAGCCCGGCTGTGGTGAATACTGAACGCAGCGGACAATTCCACTGCAACTGAGTGTATGTTGCACCTGCCACGTTGATGTATCCCATAGATTCGTGGTGGTGTCAGATGATCCACTGGCCAGCATCCTGAGATCAGAAGAAAAATCAAGTGATAATATCCAGCCGTCGTGGGTTTTATTGATTGTTTGGTTGAGTTCCCCAGTATCTGCATGCCAGATGATGAGCTCTCCGCTCTCATCGCCGCTTGCTATCCATCTCCCATCTCGTGAAACAGCCAATGCCCGCACTCGACTGCGATGCCCCTCCATCTTCTTCAACATTACACCTGTTTTCAAATCCCACAGACGAAGCATCCCGTCATACGAGCCTGTGACCATGCGCTCATCGTAGCTATATTGGGGTTTGAAAACCGCGATTGCGACCACACGATCCCCATGATCTTCAAATGCTCGAATAGGTGTGATGTTTGGAATGAGCGCCGCCATTTTAGTGAAGCTGCAGTACAGTCGAGGAGGACTTGGTGCGTGTGGGGGGATGGCGTGTTGTGAGGGTGCGCGTGATGGGGTGTTTTGAACTTGCTTTATAGCATTACCCTCCCACTAGGAACCCAAAACACCAGGTTGTTATCACGAGTACCTTGCTTGACAATGTAACTGAATGGGCTCATGTGTTCAAGTCGTGTCGCCGCGATTTTTCACATCAGTCAGCGAGCCTCCTGATCGTAATTGTTTCAGGTATTCCCGCGGCAGCTCAGAAAACGACATACACGATTCACCCAATTCACTTGATTGGCCATGCCCTCGAATTTTGATTAAGTCGTCACCCAAAGACGTAGTATTCTACTTGATGACACGTTGAGCTTCTGTTCCCTGGAACGTTCGTAGCGGAGATCCGAGGCTTCCTTTTATCTGCTCTGGTTGCTAACATCAGGATTCATGGGTATGTGCGATAATGCGATTCGCTGGCATTAGCATGAAGATAATCAATTGTTGATTGAAGTTAGCTGTGATTATCAGGGGAGTTCAAAGTTGATTTCGGAGGCCGATTTGGAAGTTGATCTGGACGTTTCGCGTTTCGAAAATAAAATCAGCTTTGGGATAGATTTCGGCTGGTCAAGCGACTTAGACACGTTGTTTCTCGGCTTGAGGATGGCAATGAGTATGGCGATGACCTTCTAGATGGGCCCACCAGTTTTCCTAGTAGCTATGTCCTAGTGGTACGTTCTCAGGCTTATATATCTACGTAGGCGCCAAAATCCCGCTCCTTCTTTTGGGCCTTGGCTGCTCGTGACGCGTGACCTCTTGTTTGTTTCATCCAGATTCCACCGATTTGCTGAGTGCTCGTTCAACTCGACTCGGATAAGTCGCCTTGTCGCGATTGTCTCCAAGACATCCACCATGTGCCGGTGGTAGATCAAAATGTAGTTTACGACCTGTATCTTTAGGATCTTGTCATCCCAAATGCGAAAGGCAACCCTACAATCGAACAGTCTGGCTGCCTCTCGGAGCGAACAATAATTTCGATACCACATACAAATCACCTTCCCGCGCCACTATGTCCTGCTTACGAATATTTGACCTGTTCCATGATAGGCGTTCGCTCAGAATTTGTTCTGAGATCTGTCGAAGAACTTCGTGTTGGAGATATGAAACATTCTGACGGGTACTGTGTGGAGAAGTGCGCCGCGCCGAATAAGCTTTCTTCAGAACGATAGCATCGACTATCAAGTAAAAGTAAGCCCATTTCATTCCCCCTGCGATACATGCCATTTCGGAATGTGATACGATTTGCATCGAAGGCTTAGGACAGCGTTTTGGGATAGGCGGAGTGCAGGAAGAAGATCGTTGGACATTAATGTTTTTCATGGAATATTTACAACAAGTTGAAATACATATATGATTATCGCGCTTAGCTTACAGCCTGAAACATCAAGACAGATGCGCGGGGCGATGTTGAGAAGTGTTTTCAAGTGAAAGTAAAGCTACTTGAAAACACGGGATAAAGATGTTCAAGCGAGGCAATACATTAGGACACCAGTAGCAAGGCCATACAGCTACCGTCAAGGTACAAATGAAAACTACTCGAGGATCCATGTCTCGAACTATATGAGTGACCACTCGCTGCAAGCGTATCATCCTCATGAGAAGCATAGAGCGCGTTTTGATTTACTTCAGAGCTGAGTGAAGTACAGTTAATGATTGTAGACGGGGAGACACCACCGAACGCTTACCAGCGAACCAAGCACGTAAGTCGGCCTTTATATCCTCATCAACCTTATCCATGATAGACCGATACGATTCGATGGCTGTTCCAAAACTACCTGCTCGAAAGAGTGCATAACACTGTTGCTGGTTCGCAGTTTGCCACAAGGACTTGAGGTCCCAGCCAAATAGCTGTGGAAAACACACAGTTGAGCACCAAATAATTTACAATTGCGTCATATCAGCATACCACGACAAGTTCATCGTACGTCAAATGAATTGGCGATTTGTAAAAGAAAGTGCTGGCATTGGCAGCGGCAGTGAAGTGTTCAACAGCTTCGTGATAGCACATGCCGTCCAAGGCAATATTTCCCAGTTGGACGCGCAGGTAGGCCTGATGTACGAAGAGCAGGAATCAATATCAACACTTGAACCTGGTGTGATCAAGCATACTTCCACGACACAACAAGCAACAGGATCGACACCGGGACACGCATCTAGCTCTCGGATGCGAAGAATTGCCTCTTGATGTTCATTTGCATTGAACAACGCAATGGTCTAGAAATCGCAATGAAACACGGAGTATGTGAGAAAAATAATACCTGCCTTCATGAAGAAAAGGAAGTGGTCGGTCTTTAAATCTCGGTTCGTGAACATGGATGCGAGATCAAATGATATTCTCGCGGCCAGAACCTGCTTTTTGCCGCAGAGGGCAATGCCCTCGGAGATATGGCCTGCCAACGATGGCTGAATACTGACGGACTATGCCATCATCAAATTTAACTTGTGTAAGGAAGTCATGGTGGGTCAGTCAGTCTTACCTGAATTGCGTCTTGGAGTGCTTGGTCCCAGCTGCACTTCCGCGCCATAACAAATGCACGATTGGCATAGGCGGTGTGATCGTTGGTGTTATTGTAAATATCTGAATTTAGCACCCTTTCGGCAGTAGGCCAGTCCCCAGTTATGCATGCGTTGCGAACTGTCGAGTTCATAGCGAGGACCTGTGCAAATCATGTTCATGTTGCGCTACAAGAGTCAAAGGCTGGAACATGCCTTGAAATCAGGGTAGGCTTGAGCCTTGGCATGACAAAGACGTTTAGATGATGAATGGGCGGGAAAATGAAAACAAACGTACCTGGTGCGTCACCTGCTCCTTTATGAGGCCATCATTTGAACCATCCTCTGACAAAGCATCCTCGGATGTTGGCCACTCTGAGATCTTTTTGTCCACACCTCCACTGAGGACATGCTTGCCATTCGCAGAGAACGTGACGCAGTTCACTTCCCCAGAGTGCTTGAATATGGCAATGTTTCGTCGATCCGAGAGTCGCCAGAGGCGGACACGGTTGTCATGAGATGCGGAGGCAAGAAGAGTGCCGCTAGGGTCCACAGAAATGGTATGGATATCCTTGAAGTGGCCCTTCCAGGGATCACCGACCTGCTGCCAGGACGATGTAGTACTATCCCACTCTCGTATGGTGGGATCAGTCCCATTACCCCCCGAGAAAAGCCGTCTGCCATCTGGCGTCCACGCGAGTGAGTAGTTGAATCCTCCACTGATCGTCTTCAGCAACTGAGTGGGAAATGCTAGTTGTGGTGTGCGATTGTAACTGTAGTAACCGTCTGAAGGGCGATTTTGGTAGATTTGGATATTGTGGTCCGTTGCAATCGCAAGAAGTGCATACGAATAGTGTGACCGTGGCGAATGCTGAACGCACCGGACAGTTCCACCGCAATCGAGTGTATACTTCACCTGCCACGTTGATGTATCCCATAGCTTCGTGGTAGTGTCAGATGATCCACTAGCCAGCGTGCTGGAATACAAAGAAAAGTCAAGTGAAAATATCCAGCCGTTGTGGGCTTTATTGATTGTTTGGTTGAGTTCCCCTGTGTATCCATGCCAGACGATGAGATCTCCGCTCTCATCACCACTTGCTATCCATCTCCCATCTCGTGAAACAGCCAATGCCCGCACCCGACTGCGGTGCCCCTCCATCTTCTTCAACACTACACCTGTTTTCAAGTCCCACAGACGAAGCATCCTGTCATATGAACCTGTGACCATGCGTTCGTCATGGTTGGGGAAGACTGCGAGTGCTATCACGCGATCCTCGTGATCTTCAAATGCTCGAGTGGGTGTGATGTTTGGAATGAGCGCCGCCATTTTAATGAAGCTGCAGCACGGTTGAGGTGGACTTTGTGTGTTTGGGGGATACTAGGTCTTGCTCGAAATTGCAGAGGCGCGTGTGATGGGGTGTTCCAAACCTGCTTTAAAGCATTACCCTCTCACCGGACGCCCAAAACATGAGGCGGTCATCATAAGCACCTTGCTTGTCAATCTAAACAAATAGGCTCGCGCGTCCAAGGTGTCGCCGCAATGTTCCACATCAGTCAACGAACCTGGTCGTAATTGTTTCAGGGGTTTACGCAGCAGATAGGAAGACGACATACACGGTTCACCTGATTTACTTGATTGGCCATGTCCTCGAATTTCAATTAAGTTGTCACCCGAAGACGTACATAGTATTCCACCCGCTGACATGTTGAGCTTCTGTTCCCTGGAACATTCGTAGCGGAGATCCGAGGCTTCCTTTGATCTGCTCTGCATCATAATTCATGGGTATGTGCGATTCGCCATTAGCAATGGCATTGAAGATAATCAACCTTTTCAAACTCTGATTCAAGTCAGCTGTGATTGAACGTTGTATTATTTTGGATTCAGGGTACTCCAAGGCACGTTGTTTCTCGGATTTACGGTGGTTGAGGATCGCGATGGGTATGGCGATGGCCTTCTAGATGGGTCCATGGTATTGTCTATGATAGTATGTTCTCATGCTTATCTCAGGCTATACATTGCCGCCAAAAACCCTTTTGGCGGCTCGTGACTCTATCCAGATTCGTGACCGTGACAGCCGATTTGGCTGTCCGAATTGCTCGTTCAACTCGACCTGGATATGCCGCTTCGTCGCGATTATCTCCAAGATATCTACCATGTGCCGATGGTAGATCAACCGGCCTGTCTCCTTCCGGTTTCGCCATGCTAAATGCCAAAGACAACCCTTCAGTCGAACAGCGGCCCATGATTCCGAGTCACCTTTATTGAGATCATCAAAGTGCAGCTAGTGAGTTCAAGGGCACCACATACAAATCACATTCTTGTTGAAGTCTCAACTTACATTCCCGCCACATGATTTTCAGGCGCAGATCATGGTTCGTCGTGACAAATAGCTTGTCTCCCCTCGAGTCTATCTGACATGCATAGCTCTGGTTGCAGTAGCATTTTTGCTTGCTCTGAGTAATCGACGGAACGCTCCTGCTTTCTCCGTATGTGACGGAGGCTGATGTCAAAATCTCACTCAAGGAATCAGCCATGTCCTGCTTACGAATAGTCGACATGTGGGATATCCATGATAGGCGTTCGCTCAGAATGTGCGTTCCGGAATGAGACCTATGAGTTCATTCATCAGAGTCTTGGTGATTTTGGAGACAGGTGTGTCGTTTTGTCGTCAGTGAGCAGCGTCCTGTCCCATTTATAGAAATTCATGCCGTGTGGAGAGTAGCTCTTGTAGAGTCCGTCCCTTTAAAAACCACTCATCCCCTTCCAGGTCTTCCACTCGACTCCTCAATGTATACGAAGCACGCTCATGAGTTTTCATGCCATTTGAACATGTAACGAAACGAGCTCGTCAAGCTCTGAGCTACTTAGTTTATCGATGCAGCAGACGTTAGACTATACGAAATCGCAGCCATGCCACCTTGTCATCTCGCAGAAGTTTATGTGATGGACGAATCACAAATCTCTCATGTTGCACATCATGATATGCCACTTCCGTACCGAACCATCTGTGGTATGTTTTACTCTATGCTTCACCAACTCGTAAATCTTTCTTCATGTGCATTCCAGCTGCGGTAGCTGTTCAAATTCACGATTATTGATACTAACGACGATAGGATTCAAATGTTTGTTCTGAGATCTGTCGAAGAACTCCATGTTGGAGATGTGAACCAATCTGACGGGTACCGTGTGGAGAAGTGAGCAGCGCCGAATAGGCTTTCTTCAGAATGATAGCATCAACTATCAAGCAAAAGTAAGCCCATTTCATTCCCCCTGCAATACATGCCATTCCAGAATGTGGTACAATTTACATCGAGATGGGTTTGTGCGTGATGGAGAACAAACGAGCTTTTTATCTAAACGAGCCAATATATTATGACGAGCATCAAGGCAATACAGCTACCGTCAAGGTACAAATGAAAACTACTCGGGGATGTCTGTTTCAAACTATGAGTAACCGCTCGCTGCAAGCGCATCATCTTCATGGGAAGCATAGAGCGCGTGTCGATTTTACTTCAGAGCTGAGTGAAGTACAGTTAATGATTGTAGACGGGGAGACACCACCGAACGCTTACCAGCGAACCAAGCACGTAAGTCGGCCTTCATATCCTCATTGATCTTATCCATCATGGACTGATACGATTCGAGGGCTGCTCTATAACTACCTGTTCGAAAGAGTGCATAACACTGTTGCTGGTTCGCAGTGTGCCACAAAGACTTGAGGTCCCAGCCAAATAGCTACGGAAAACACGCAGGTGAGCACGAAATAATTTTCAGTTGCGTCATATCAGCGTACCACAACAAATTCATCGTACGTCAAATGAATTGGCAATTTGAAAAAGAAAGTACTAGCATTGACAGCGGCAGTGAAATGTTCAAGAGCTTCATTGTAGCGCGCACCGTCCAAGGCAATTTTTCCCAGTTGGACGCGTAGGTAGGCCTGACGTACGACAGGCAAGAATCAACGACAATGCATGAACCTGGTGTGATCAAGCTTACTTCCACGACACAACAAGCAACAGGATCGACACTGGGACACGCAGCTAGCTCTCGGATGCGAATTATTGCCTCTTGATGTTCATTCGCATTGAACAACGCAATGGCCTAAAAACCGCAATGAAGTACGGAGTATGTTGGAAAAATATTACCTGCCTTGATCAAGAAAAGGAAGTGACCGGTCTTTAGATCTCGGTTTGTGAACATGGATGCGAGGTCGAATGATATCCTCGCAGCCAGAATCTGCTTTTTTCCGCAGAGGGCAATGCCCTCGGAGATATGGCCTGCCAACGATGGCTGAATGCTGATGGACTATGTCATCATCAAAGTTAACTTTTATAAGAACGTCATTATGGGTCAGTCCGTCTCACCTGAATTGCGTCTTGAAGTGCTTGGTCCCAGTCGCATTTTCGTGCCATAACAAATGCGCGATTGGCATAGGCAGTATGATCGTTTGCATCAGTGTAAATATCTCTATGTAGCACCTTGATAGCGGTAGGCCAGTCCCCAGTAATGCATGCGTTGCGGACTGTCGAGTTCATAGCGACGACCTGCGTAAATCATGTTCGCATTGCGTTACAAGAGTCAAGGGTTGGAACATGCCTTGAAATCAGAGTAGGCTTGAGCCTTGGTATAGAAAAGACGCTGAGATGACGAATGGACGGGAAAATGAAAATAAATGTACCTGGTGCGTCGCCTGCTCTTTCATGAGGCCGTCCTTTGAACCATCCTCTGGCAAAGCATCCTCTGATGTTGGCCACTCTGAGATCTTTTTATCCATACCTCCACTGAGAATGCGCTTGTCATCCGCAGAGAAAGTGACACAGTCTACCTCCCCAGAGTGCTTGAATATGGCAATGTTTCGTTTATCTGAGAGTCGCCAGAGACGGACACGGTTGTCATGAGATGCGGAGGCAAGGAGAGTACCATTAGAGTTCAGAGAAATGGCATGGATATCCTTGAAATGGCCCTTCCAGGGATCACTGACTTGCCACCAGGACGATGTATCCCACTCTTCTATGGTGGGACTAACCCCATTTGCCCCTGAGAAAAGCCGTTTGCCATCTGGCGCCCACACGAGTGAGTAATTGAATCCTCCACTGATCGTCGTCATCAACGTGGTGGGAACTGGAGGCGATGGTGTGTAATTATAACCGTAGTAACGGTTTGGGATGCTTGAGGTGTAATCCTGGTAGATTTGGACATTGTAGTCCGTTGCAATTGCAAGAAGTGCTCGCTTATAGCCCGGCTGTGGTGAATACTGAACGCAGCGGACAATTCCACTGCAACTGAGTGTATGTTGCACCTGCCACGTTGATGTATCCCATAGCTTTGTGGTAGTGTCAGATGATCCACTAGCCAGCATACTGGGATACAAAGAAAAGTCAAGTGAAAATATACAACCATCATGGGCTTTATTGATCGTTTGGTCGAGTTCCCCAGTGTCTCCATGCCAGACGATAAGCTCTCCGCTCTCATCGCCGCTTGCTATCCATTTCCCATCTCGTGAAATAGCCAATCCCCGCACCCGACTGCGATGCCCTTCCATCTTCTTCAACACTACACCTGTTTTTAAGTCCCACAGACGGAGCATTCCATCATACGAGCCCGTGACCATGCGTTCGTCGGAGCCATATTGGGGTTTGAAAACCGCGACTGCGACCACGCGATCTTCGTGATCTTCAAATGCTCGAATGGGCGTGATGTTTGGGATGAGCACTGCCATTTTAGTGGAGCTGCAACACAGTTGAGGGGGATGGTGATTTGCTCGAAGTTGCAGAGGTGCGTGTGATGGGGTGTTTTAAACCTGCTTCATAGCATCACCCCCTCACTAGACGCCCAAACCATGAGGCTATTATCGCAAGTACCTTGCTTGACAATCTAAGCGAATGCACTCATGCATCCAAGACGTGTCGCCGCAATGTTCCACATTAGTCAATGATCCTGATAGCAATTGTTTCAGGTATCCACGCAGCAGATAGGAAGAAGACATACACGGTTCGCTCGATTCACTTGATTGGCCATGCCCTCGAATTTTGATTAAGTCGCCATCCAAAGACATAGTATTCAAATTTTCACCCGGTGACATGTTGAGCTTCTGTTCCCTGGGACGTTCGTAGCGAACATCCGAGGCTTCCTTTGATCTGCTCTGTACTATGATTCAAGGGGTATGTGCGAATCGCCATCAGCATTGAGCCTTCTCAAACTCTGATTCAAGTCAGCTGTGATTGAACGTTGGATTTGGGGTTTTGAATAGGTAACTCCAAGACACGTTGTTTCTCGGGTTGAGGATGGCAATGGGTATGGTGATGCCCTTCTAGATGGGCCCACTAGTTTGTGTTTCCATTCTAGTACGCGGAATTCTACATGGAACCATTATGTATGTTGCGGCGTATGGTTCTATGAATGCACATTAATCCATATGTGTGGTTCTCGTGACAGGGACTTGGAGTGTTCGAGGCTACTTTTGCACACAGAAGCTCTGAAGATGTGGCCATGGTACCGATGACAAGCGAGGTATGATTATCGATATTGGGTACTATTGACGTGATGTTTGGCCCGCTTTGGATCCCGTTCTTTATTCAGTACTCAGTCCCCATCAAATTACACATTGAGCAAAACGAATGTTTCTATTTTAAGCTTTATACCAGTGCAAAACTAAACATTCCGAGGAGACACTCGAAGATCTTCTAAATCATGCAAGTGTGTCTTGTGATAATAGGTTTTGGCAAGTGCACTAAGCATTGCAGATGATGATATTCAAGTGTAAAACCATCAGGCATTGAGGGTACAGCAATAGATCAAGTCAACTGTGACCATGAGCACCACTATGCTAGATGCTACTAAGTAGTATTTGTTGTGCTGTCCTGACGGGGTATATGAACCTGCTCTAATCGTTTTTATGGAGGCATCTGTATGGTCAACCATCAGACCGCCACACCCACTCAACTCCTGAAGGTAGACAATGCACACTCATGAGGTTCCATGCCACTTGAATATGGAACGAACGAGCCCGTCGAGCTCCGAGCTTCTTGGCTTGTTGACACAATCAGTTAGGTTATATGAGATCGCAGCTATGCCACCTTGTTTTCTCATAGATGTTTGCAAGTTTATGTTATGCATGATCAGGGAGATGCAATTCACTACAAAGTGCTACATAGTGCTCTGTAGCATTCTGTAGCACAATTCAACCCAATTTCTCCTCATGTCGCACATCATGATATGCCACTTCCATATCGATTCAGCTATGGTATGTGTCAGTCTATGCTTCACCAATCGTGAAGGTCCTTCTTCACATGCGCTCTGCCTGCAGTTGATGTTCAGGACACGAGCATTAAGAACCACTGGGTGCGGGATCTATCTTTTCCGCTGGAAAAACTGTAAACTTGTTGAAGGAAAAGGTCAAAATTTATCTGTCATGTAATCTGCCTAAAAATGATGAAACAAAATCATAATGTTCTTGTAAATTTCCAACGGAGAAAACTGTAAACAAATTAAAATTTTGTGGTTTCAATGTCTTCATGATATATCAGGTGACAATTTTAGAATAATGTTCACCTTTGTC